TAGACTTTAAATATTTCTTTTAAAAGGTAATTTTAAAATAGAAAAATTGCTTCCATTAGCACTAAATATATTTGGTTATATGTATCAAATATATTTGAATTAGTATACAAAACTTTCTTTATTTTTAAATTTTTAATATAATTGTTATTTTATTATTTGACAAAAGTTATGTACACGTTTTTTTGTATATTTTATTCATATTTGTTTATAAACACAAACATTTTGTAAACGGGGCTCGGTGATAAGACAGTCATTGTCTTCTTCTTGCTCCGGCCAATTTTTATAAATGTATTTTCCCAATAATGTCTTTTTTGTAAATATATGAAACGGCAAAAAAAAAAAAAAAAAAAAAAAAAAAAAAAAATACAATCAAATGATGAGCATACTCCAACAGAGAATTTCGATACTCTTTATTTGAACTCAGCATAACTCTAATAGCTATTGAAAGAAAAAGGAAATGGGTGTATACTTCTTTTTTTACAACCCCTCCAAGTACAATAAGAACATTATATAAAAGAAATTTCCTGAATTCGGTGGCTTTTCATCGCTTTATTTACTTTAGAAATCGAGGTTGACGCGCAAATTCACTTGGTATTTGATTATTTAATGATATCAAACTCTCTGATAAATCATTAATTTGCTTAATTGATATTTTACGCAATCTTGGACCATTAGTCAGAAAGTTTAAAATTCATCGCATAACACCCAAGCAAACCAAATGCAAATAGTCTAAGACTATTTATAGTCATAGACTATTTGCATTTGTCTATAGTAATAAGACGAATAAATAGTCTATAGTAATAAGACCAATCAAGTAACACAAGGCAAATTATAATCAATGAGAGGAGATTTAGCTTTTTGGTGTTCATCTTCATATTTCAATAAACTAAAATCTATGTCATTTCTTGCAGCACAATTATTTTTGTGAAAAACAACTCGTCAGTCATGGGCCTTTAATTATGCATTGCTCACAAGAATAATATCCTGTATGACTTTTGATACACTTAATGAATGCTCAAGCAGGTGCGTCACATACAAATGCTTTAATAGAGACTGTGTACCTATTGTTTTTGTAAAGAAATCCGTAAGTCTTTAATAGTTGGTATTCCATTAAAAATTCATTGATGGAATTTGGCTTCTTGGTTTCACAGTATGCTAAAACAATAAAAGGTTTCAAACTTTTAAAACGACAAAGAATTGGCTTTAACTCTAGACTTGAAGACTTGAACAATGGAAGCCCATCAATGTTTAAAATTATTTCAATATTTTGAGTTATTTCACAAGTTGAAATTATACTATCAAAAATCATTCTAATACCAGATTCAATAACTAAATGAAAAAAATCTCCGCTACACTTAGAATATGAAGTTGTAGACCTTGGTGTTTTTAACAATCTTCGCGAATCTTTTGGAGATCGCGAAGATTGTTTGAAGATCTAGATGTTTGTTTCTGCGAAGAATAGCAAGAAATTGATTTAAAGAATCTCGTTTACACATGTTTGAAGTACTCCAAACAGCAAGTTCAGTCTGTAGACTGAACTTGCTGTTTGTCTATAGTCTTTTTTTTGTTGTTTGTCTGTACTTTGTTTGTAGTCTGTAGTTTATTGTTTGTTTGTAATCTGCTGTAGTCTGTCTGTAATCTGTTGTTTGTCTGTAGTCTGTCTGTAACCTGCTGTTTGTCTGTAGTCTGTAGTTTGTCTGAACTGCTGTTCAGTCTGTAGACTGAACTTGCGTCACTCTTCTTGGTGTTATTTCTGATTATATTGACTAAGCCCTCATTCTTTATCTATCAGCCAATATTGTTGTTGTCGGTGACTTTAATGTTCATCACACTGAATGGCTTGGCTCTAGTGTCAGTGACTCTGCAGGCATTAAGGCCCACAACTTTTGCCCTTCTCAATCCCTAACTCTAATAGTCAACTATCCAACTCGCTTTCCAGACAACCCGAATCATTTACCTTCTCTACTCGACTTATGTCTTGTAGATGCTTCTGATCATGGTTTGGTTTCTCTAAAACTATTATCTCATTCTTCTTTACCATCAGAATTCCCATATCATCGTACATCTTACAACTACCTTAAAGCTGACTGGGACTCTTTATGTGATTTTCTTCGTGACAGCCCCTGGGTAGAAATCTTTCGTCTTCCTGTTGACAAATGTGCTTCTTGCATAACTTTGTGGAATTAGGTTGGCATGGAATCCTTTATTCCCTCTCGACGAATCCAGGTCAAGCCTCACTCTTCTCCGTAGTTTTCCTCACATTGTGCTGCTGCAACTGCCAATCGAAACTATTACTTCTATATCTATCAGCAATACAATTCTCCAGAAAACAGACGTCGGTTTATTACTGCTAGGAACCATTGTAAAAAGGCTTTGTCTAACGCTAAAGCCCGCTATTCTCATATCTCGTATTTCATCACAAAAATTAGACTCTTGTGTTTTCTGAGGAATCTTTAACAGTACCAATAATAAGAGCAAGTCTGTAATTCCACCTCTTTTAAATGGTTCAGACTTTGTCCCCTCACCTTAAGACAAAGCTGAATTGTTTGCCATGAACTTTTCATCAATATCATCTCTTGTTTCCATTAGTTGCGTTCTACCTGATATAGCCGTCAAAAAGGGTTGATCCATTACTCGACATCCGTACCACTCCAGCTTCTGTATCTAAAGTGATTTTTGCATAGACTCTTCTACACCTTGCGGCCCGGACAACTTACCTGTTATAGTCTTGCATAAGTGTGCTCCGGAGCTGACGTCTATCTTTTTAAAACTATTTAACAAGTGCTTATCAAAGTCTTGTTTTTCAGCCTGCTGGAAAGCAGCATCTGTTATCTCTATTTTTAAAAATTCTGGAGAGCGATCCGACTCGTCTAACTACCGTCCCATTAGTCTTCTACCTATCATAAGCAAGATTTTGGAATATTTAATTAACAAACACTTAATCTCTTATCTCGAATCTCATAACCTACTTTCTGATCATCTATATGGATTTCAATCTTCTCGTTCTACGGCTGATTTGCTATCAGTAATAACCGATGGGTTTTATCGCGCATTAGATAAAGGTGGAGAGATTAAGGCTATCGCTCTTGAGATTTCTGAAGCGTTTGATAAAGTTTGGCATGCTGGTCTTCTCTATAAGATGTTTCCATATACTCCTTACGGTGTATATGGAAACATCTCAAAGATTATCGATCTCTTCCTTTCCAATCGTGGTATAAAAGTTGTCCTTGATGGACAACATTCTTCTTCTTATTTTGCAACCTCAGGGGTTCCCCAAGGTTCAATCCTTGGCCCTTTACTCTTTTTTATTTACATTAACGATCTTCCAGATATTCTCACATCTATGGTCGCATTGTTCGCTGATGGTGCTACCATTTATTCTTGTCATTATAAGAAGCCAACTGCCTCTAATTGCTTGCAGGGGACGCCTGCCTATCACAAGAATGTTTTTAATCGAAAATAATATTTTATACTTCATTTGTGACATTTTCGAAAACTAAAGAATTTATCCAACATCACATAAAGCAATAACACTATCGAAGCAGTTAAACAACTTTATTTTTATTGTTTTAATACATGTTTTACAATTTTTTTTTCAAAAATAATGATGATCTTATTGTTAATATCGGTAGTAAGACTCTTCAAGAAAGAATATGTAATCTACTCAATATAAGGATTAAATGTAAAATTGTTTTTTTTACTTTAAAACTATCGAAAAACTAGTTTTTTTGATTACAGAACCAACAAATTCTTTAAAGTCGACAGGCAAGTATATAGTAAAACACCATTAATTAAGAATGACAGTTGATAACCATATATGAACGCTTTGACATCACCTAAAGTAAATAGATGGCTATCCCCTTGTAAACTGAAAAAACAAACTTTTTTATATTTTTCTGTTAATACATATGTATAAGTAAATACACAGAAAAAATATACATATGTATAAATAAATACGCAGAAAAAAAATACATGTGTATAAATAAATACACAAAAAAAAAAAAAAAAAAATTGAAATACTATATCGATAGATTTATTGGCAGTTAAAACTGCTGTACCATCAGTTTTTTTTAACTTTGATAATAAGGTAAGAATTTTATGTTATTATTTTTATTTAAAAAACAAACATTAGATTTGATTTTATAAATATGTTTCAATCAAATTCACGGCTTTGGTGAAAATTTTTTGTTGATTAAAATCAGTTTTAAATCAATTTTAATAAACGTTTCTATAAACGTTATATAACGTTTTAATAAACGTTAATAGAAGTTTCTTTGATTTTCATGATATGAAAGCCAAAAAAAATTTCAGTTTTGAGAAATTTAAAGTTAATAGCGTACATAATTTGTGAGATAAAATGATAACATGTTGTGTTTTTCAGACAAAGTTTTGGAATCCTGAAATTTTCAAATTTTAATGTTATTTAGTAAATATGCAGTTAATAATTTAATTAATTTATATGTAAATAAACTCTAGAGTTTTTAAATTAACAAAAAAAAAAAATATTTAAGCTGACTTTTATCCACTTAAAATTGTTACCATATTATTTGTCAATAGTATGGATGTAAATTATTTCGTAATGACGGGTGCAATTCATATTTAAAAACATAAAAAAAACATTTATGTTAATAATTTATTATTTTAATAAAAAAAACAATCAAGTACATTTTAAGCAAAAACTAAAATATATTTATATTGGTCAAATATTGAATCAGAACACATATACCAATAATTTCAAAATGTGGGTTGCGTCTCGCAATGTAATGGTTGTGTTTTATATCACTGTGGTCTAATTTACTCTATTAGCAAAATGTTAAACTAAAATGCGAATCATGTCTATATATATATATATATATATATATATATATATATATATATATATATATATATATATATATATATATATATATATATATATATATATATATATATATATATATATATATATATATATATATATATATATATATATATATATATATATATATATATATATATATATATATAGCTTAAGGATTATTCATTCTTTTGTTGCTTGAACTTTTGTTTCAGCAGATATGCAGTGGAAGGCATCAGTATTGTAATAAACATTTTTTTCATTGATATTCATATCAACATAAAAGCTGCCATCAGATAAAATTTGATCAAAAAACTCACGTAACTCAGTAAACGTGGGTCGCTGTAATGGATCTTGATTCCAACAGTGCAACATTACGTCATACCTAAATTTCAAAAATGCAGACAGTAAATAAAAATACATTAGAAGTCATTTCATTACCTTCCAAGCATGGCCTACTACACGCTCGCGGAAAGTGTGGAGCTTTTCTTCACACAGGTGTGTAGCTGTAAATCCTAGACACAAGTGTGGAGTTATTTGGCACACTTTTATGGAAATTAACTTTTTCTAACTAGATTTCTGCACATAAGTGTGTAGTTATTTCCACAAAAGTGTGCAAAATAACTCCACATTTGTGTCTAGAAGTTCCAGCCACACACCGGTGTAGGAGGAAACTCCACACTTTCCGTGAGTTTGTAAAGTGACAACGACGTTAAAAGTCTGTTAAAGTTTTTCGCCTCAAATTAATAAAATGTGATTTGAATCCTGTTCATAGTTAAGAACTTTTTACTCTTGATTACGAAATGACTACGAACTACCCAGTCACTGATGAAAAAACTGACTGATGATTTTTTAAAGTTGTATAATGACAAATGTTCTGTTTCTCAAAGACAGATTGTTCTATTAATTGATGAAATTTATGTTTAGTTATAATTAACTAATCAAGGTGGTAACATTTTTGGTGACTTAATAAAAACATTTAAAATCTATATGAAAAAACTAATATTTTAAAACAAAACTATGCTTAATATATAATACTATAATTATATTATATATATATATATATATATATATATATATATATATATATATATATATATATATATATATATATATATATATATATATATATATACATATATATATATATATATATATATATATATATATATATATATATATATATATATATATATATATATATATATATATATATATATATATATATATATATATATGTATGTATATATATATGTACATATATATATATATATATATATATATATATATATATATATATATATATATATATATATATATATGCATATATATATATATATATATATATATACATTATAATTTATTTATAGTATTAAATACTAACTGTATTCGGGTTTAATAGGTTCTTTGTTTTATCGAAAACAGTTTTTATATTATGCATTACCACTAACGGTTTTAGATGCTTATTTTCAATATGATCAAACAATGCAAGCAATGAAAAAAGAAAAAAAAAAGCTAACGAAAAGGTTTTTAGAATCTTTATCTCCTTAATACTTGGTGCACTGATAATTTTATTTTCCCTTTATATGACTTTTTTAATTTATGAAAATCTTTTCACAAAAATTGGCTCAGAAAAATGCCACGAACTGTTTTACACACAAAGGTATTGCAAGAGCTTCAAGATGGTCAGATCTTAAATTATCTTATCTTAATGGGAATACAATTTTTCCTAAACCAATTGAAAGTCAAAATGTGTCAACTTATTTACAGACTATTTTGTGATGAGATTGTAGCTGCTTTGAAAACTCATCAATCCATTATAAATTGTAAAGACATTACTGTGTTTTTTTCTAGTTTTATCAATTTTTTAAAAATTGTTAATGTTAAAGGACTTTATAAAGATATTTGTAATAGAGATACAAATTGTGCTGTTTTTTATTGAACAATGATAAACAATTCAAATTTCTATAAATTTTGACTGATGTGATCAAAAATATGCCAGCTGAAAAAAACATAAGATACATCTCGTGCTTTTTCTCATACCTGTTGTAAAATGGTTGAACAAGTAAAACTTTTACTAACTACAAATCATAAGTTTGCCTTTGACATTTTAGGCGAATCTCTAGAGAAAGTATTTGGAAAACTTCAACAAGAATCAGGTATTTATATATATATATATATATATATATATATATATATATATATATATATATATATATATATATATATATATATATATATATATATATATATATATATATATATATATATATATATATATATAGATATATATATAAGGTTGTCTAGAAAGTTGTTTTTTTATGTACAATTTTTTATGTAATTAAGTAAGTTTTTTTATGTAAGTTTTTTTATGTAATTAAGTAAGTTTTTTATGTAATTATGTAATTAATCAAACAATTTTTTATGTAATTAAGGAAAGTATTTACTATTATGGATTGAACAATGTCCTCCACCCGCAACTATAATTCCAAAAATTAGCAGGCATTATTATTATTCAAAAAAAAAGTTTTTGAAAATTATGTGATGTAGGTACTCAAATAAAAATCTTATAAAAATTTCAAAAATAATAATTTTTTTATATTAAAATTATTACTTTAGATTTTATTGCTTAATAACTATAGTTTTTTTACTAAAAGTAAAAAAGGTGCATTTTTAGATGTTTTGGTAATATGAATTTATAAAACGATTTCTATTTTCGAATTTTTTAGGAAATTTTGCTTCTTTTGAGTACCAGGTTGACATACTTTTGAAAAACTTTTTTTCTTTAAAATTTTAGGGTACCGGTTATTTCCCAATAAAGTTGCGCCCTTTAAATCTATCACAATCAAGTTCATATTTGATAGTATCAATATTAATAACTATTTGTAATGTTTAGAGCCTGAAAGAAGAAAAAAAATTTTTATGACTAATTCTAATATTCATATATATATATATATATATATATATATATATATATATATATATATATATATATATATATATATATATATATATATATATATATATATATATATATATATATATATATATAATTATAGTAATATATACTAACTGTAGTTTTGTTTTGAAAGATTAGTTTTTTCATATAGATTTTAGAGTTTTTTGCTCAGTTAAAGTTTTTACTATATTATATTTACTCAAATATGTTTTTTTTTTCAAATTTTTACATTTTATATACAAGTTTGTTAATTATTTCTTATTTTTTAAAATATTTTTTTATGTAAGTTACTTACTATCAAATTAACTGATTTTTCATCCAAAACCAAAATAAAAAAATGTTTTTTTCATTTTTATCTTAAAACGTTATGTTTACTCGGCCCAGTCACTTTTGTAGACCATGCCTATATAGTGACAGACCGACAGCATATTTAACTTTTTAACAGTTTTTAAGATAATTGAATTTTTCATATTATCTCAGATTAAAAATGCTATCCAAACATAGATATAATTTAATTGTTTTGTTTAAATATTAGAACAATTGTGTATTTAACTTACAAAACCCTCCAACTATGTACCTTACTTAAAAACATTTTTAGTTTTGTATTTAAACATTTATTTTTTATTCCATTACATTATATCATATTTTATTTTAATTATTTAACAATATAATAACTAAAGTATTATTTGAAAAAACAATCAAAACAAAACAAAGAAAAAAAAAATCAGGAAGAAAAGCATATGTTTTAAGTAATAATTAAATTGCAATATCAGAAAGCGTTTTTTATTAAATCAACTTTAATCTAATTTTTCCGTGTACATCGCTATAGTAGAACACAATACAGACATTTTAAGCCTCAGGTTGCACAATATTGTGTATATAAAAAATATTTAAACAGATCAAAAATTGTGAAGTAATGGTAATTAATAATAAATAATAAAAAAGTAGAAGCTAACAGAATAAATAACAAAAAACTAATAATAATTAATATAGAAAAAAGTTAAAGTTAACAGAAAAAATTACAGAACAATTAAGTTACATTTGTTCAGAACAGTTTTCAGGTCGATTCATTCTGTAACCAGACTTTAAAAGTGTTAGAAGTTCACAGTTGGGAATAGTAGGATATGGTGTTCCTCCTTTAAAAAAAAAAAATGAAAATAATAATAAAATTTATACAATAAATAAATGTTTTATAAGAATGTTAATTACTTAATAAAAACATTATTTAACAATTTTATTAACCAAATTTATTAAACAAATTAGAGATAAGTATTTATTTTCACTTACCTAAAGTAACAATCTCAAATAAAACTATACCGTATGACCACCTAAAAAGATTTATCAAAGTTTTGAAAATTTTTAATTTAAAATTTGTATAAATAACATATCGATCACATTTTAGTTGCAATAATAAAAATCAGTATATAAAAAATTTACTGAATCTTTTTTTAAACTTTTTTTATGGTAAATCACTGTAATTCTATGCCGAGAAGGCCACTATAGATGATGAAGCTACCTAATTGTGATTATAACCATATCTTAACTCTATAACTTTGAAAAACGAATCTTGACGAACAAGGCCGCTGCGCGGTGAAACAAGAGAGCGCGGTATTACCGGGGCTTATGAAGCAAGCGCTCTACAACTACTGCATAAAAAGAGTATATTAAAAATTTACACATCACTGCATGAAGTAAATGTATGGTCAAATATTGCTTCAGTTGACATCCACTTGATTGGTAAGCGACGGGTTTTGCTACCAATATACGCATGATTATTAACTTTCCTTGTCAAACCGAAATCAGATATTTTAAGATTTTTGTCTGCACCGACCAATACATTTCGTGCGGCAAGGTCTCGATGTATGAGTTTTATACAAGAAAGATATTCCTAAAGTAAGAAAAATCAAAAGTAATTATAACTATGATATTATAAATAAGCAAATTAAAACATTCTAGTGAAAAAAACAATCACGCTAGAATAAAGAATTACAATATAATTCGATATAAACGAATAAAGTAGCACAACTATACCATTCCAGATGCTACTTGCCATGCAAAACGTAGCAAATCATTAGGTGTTAGCAAGTCAATCTCCATTAGCTGAATCTCGTTTTTTGTTTTTTCTATTACCTTTAAAGATAAATTCAATTAGATGAAAAAATTAAATAATAACTGAAAACATAGAAAAACAATACAAAACAAAACAAAAAGCCCTTTATCAATATAACGAAGTTATATTGATGAATAAAGTTGGAATAAAAGTAAAAAACCTCAAGATCATCTTGAAACTCTAAAGTGTAAATAAAACTAGCAAGTTCCCCATTTTTCTTTGATATCTATAAATAACATGATTGATATTGTTGATAAAACGTTGTTGAATGCTTAATTGGGTTCTTGAGAAATGAGTAAACAATTTTAAAATTCTCAATAAACTAATCAGTAAAACAGATAATGAAACATGTAAACTGATTATTAACTGTTTGTTCTGCTTTCTGTAATCTGTTGTAGGATGATTCTTTTATATTGAGTTAATATATTTTTTTCTACAACTAATATATAAACTTGATGTTATATGTATTTATTTATTTAAAACGAAATTATTCTGATCTTCTTACAGGAACAACAATTTCCAAATGGTATGCCATGACAATTAAGATTATCATCTTAATTTAAATCATATGTTGAACAATAAAATCTAGTATAATACTTTGGTTAGTTTCACCACAAGAACATACCCAAGTAACAAACAATATTGGCACGATATTGGGTATCTTGGCGAATTTTGGCTAAGATATCCGATATTGCGCCAATATTGTCAAGCAATAATACGACAGTATTGCCTTACCAATATTGGCAAATAATATTGCGCCAATATTATCCCATAATTGTTTTACTAATGTTTATATGCCAATATTGACCAAATGTTGTTTGCCAATATTGGCATTATATTAAACAGCTAATATTAGCTAATGTTGACATTTTTACATATTGGTACGCATGCATTATTTTATGGAATATTCATTATGCCCTTTACTTCTGTTAAAATGTAAATAATAGTATCTTTTTACATAAACAGACGTCCTTATGTTATTAATTTTTTACAAAAAAAAAATTAGATTTCAAAATGAAAATTTTAAATAATGAAAAGAGAAGTAGTAGGAAAAGTATTTTCAACATTTACAGAGTGAATCAGGAAAAGAAATAATGGTAAATTTTTTTGAAAAAGATTGTATCACGAGAAGAAGTGGTAAGAGTAATGAAATTCTTTTATTCAACATTTACGGATTGAATCAGGAGAATAAGTGGTTGCAAATGATTTAAAACAAATTGCTTGACAAGAAGAAAAGGAATCAAATATTGCTATACTATAAGTATCAAGATTAATGTATATAAATATATGTATATATTATTGACCTTAACACGTACAAACACACACACACACCAAATTATAGGCCAATATTGACTTTACAATATTGGCGCAATATTGTAGCACTATTATTGGCAATATTGGCAAAATGTTCACATTGCAATATTGGCCCAATATAGTTTATAATATTGCGCCAATATTGTAAACAATATCGCCCCAATAATGCGCCAACATTGTTTGCTACTTAAGCAATGTTTCAAAAGTAGTATTTTCTGTTTTAACAATTACATATAGTTTCAAAAATGCAATTTTCTCTTAGTGGGACCACAAACTATTGCACAATTATTATATTTATCAAATAAAGCAATTTTTTAGTAATAAAAATTTCAAAAGTATTATATTTATAAAATATTATAAAATATCAAGTAGGGTGTGTGTCTCCACACACCCCACAGATGAAAACTTTAGAGGACTTAGGTGAGTATATATATATACAAGTCATGGCTAAGTCATGTATTGATGTCAAGAATCATAAATTGGTACTTAGTAGTATAAGTACCAATTTATGATTAGTAAGCAGTATAAATAATAAACTTATGATAAAATAATTGCATCAAGGCATCTAATTAAAATTTTTTTGAACAATTTTTTTTAAATAATTGTTTTATACAATAAAAAAATTTCAAATTATTGTTTAAATTTCTTGAATTATTATTTTTTTAAACTAATTAAGTCAGCTTTGTATTATAAATCTTTTCAATACTTAAATAAAAAATCTTACTTTAGAGCGGTTATTTCGTAAAAACTGCAACAAATCTCCATTTTCCATATACTCAACAATTAAACATAAAGAGTTTTCAATGCTGGAAAAACCAATCATACTGACAATATTTTTATGATATCCAGTCTCTTTCATAAGATTTATTTCTTCAATAAAATCATTCAACTCAGATTGATTTGCACCATCTTTATATTAGAAGCCAAATAAATTATATGCAGTGTAAATAAATATATATATATATATATATATATATATATATATATATATATATATATATATATATATATATATATATATATATATATATATATATATATATATATATATATATTATGTATATATATATATATAAATATATATATAAATATATATATATATATATATATATATATATATATATATATATATATATATATATATATATATATATATATATATATATATATATATATATATATATATATATATACCCTTATAGTGTAGTCAAAAGAGCGTTTTAATGTAAAAAAAGTCTCTTACGACTACAATTTTAATTACCTCGTATCTTAAGCTGTTTTTGATTGTCATCGAAATGTCAAAGCAATTAATTTATGCGGAAGTACATTAAATTTAATTGTTTTTTAAAAAATTTTTAAAAGACCGCAATTATAACGACTAGAAAGTTTTTTTTAATTAGTGGTGTTTTTGTTATTGATTTAATAAAAAAACATTTTTAAAACATGCGTAAATGTTGCTACATCGACTATCTTATAGCCTGACTCGCAATAGAGTGCTGCTACATCAACTGACAAATAGCCTGACTCGCAACGGAGTGCTGCTAAATCGACTGACAAATAGCCTGACTCGCAACGGAGTGCTGCTACATCGACTGACAAATAGCCTGACTCGCAAGGGAATGCTGCTACATCGACTGACAAATAGCCTGACTCGCAAGGGAGTGCTGCTACAACGACTGACAAATAGCCTGACTCGCAAGAGAGTGCTGCTACATCGACTGAGGGTTTGGTTTGGCCAGGCAGTCTATCAATTAAAAAAAAAAATTTAATTTTAAAAACTTTTTCTGGTCTGGTTTATTAACGCGCTCTTTAAAACTACAGTTTATGGGAAATATTTTTTGATGCCACGCAAGAGACATGCAAGAGTATATATATATATATATATATATATATATATGTGTATATAAATATTTATATATATATATATATATATATAAATTTATATATATATATATATATATATATATTTATATATATATATACATATATATATATATATACATATATATATATATATATATATATATATATATATATATATATATATATATATAATATATATATATATATATATATATATATATATATATTTATATATTTATATATATATGTATATACATATATGTATATATATATATATATATATATATATATATATATATATATATATATATATATATATATATATATATATATATATATATATATATATATGTATATACTTATATATATATTTATATATATATATATATATATATATATATATATATATATATATATATATATATATATATATATATATATATATATATATATATATATATATATATATATATATATATATATATATATATATATATATATATATATATATATATATATATATATATATATATATATATATATATATATACTAAGAGAGTTCTTGATTAAGAAATTTTTACATAAAATTCTGCAGTGGCAGGTGATTGGGCTAGTAAAGTAAAAGTAACTCTAGATTAAATGCAAATTATTTATTTTATCGCAAATGAAACCAAAGAAAGAGATAAAAGAGAAAACAACTTGCTTACTTTCGGTTTAGAGAAATCAGCATAAGGTCATAAAGTCAAAGCAAATGAAGAAGATAAATAATCAAACAATTTTAAAACAATCGTGCAAAAGTTGAAGATTAATGTCAAAATCAAATATGTTATCAAATTAAAGTCAAAAATGGATATAAAGCTCCATATATTGTTGTTTTAACTGAAATATCGGAACATATTTCTATTTTAAAAAATACTGAAGAATTAAAGAAAGATAAAACCTACGAAAATGTATTAATAAATCCTGATTTGACTGAATATGAACGGTACAAATCAGAGCTACAAAGGATAAAAACAAAATTGTTTCTATAACTCACTCAGCTCCTTTAGGGAATGTCAAACAGGGTCATAATTTATCAAAGTGTTGTTACCTAATGAATAATCTTAAGTCTTCTAATAAACATAAGAATCCCATCAGATTATATCTAAAAACAATATATGGCTTTCTAATAAACTTAATGGCTAGAATGATGAATCAACAAAAACTCAGTATAATAAGTTTGAAATTAAAATAAAAAATGATGCTAGGAACAATATAAAAAAATTAGAAAGTGCTATAGTGAGCAAATTTAAATCAAATCCTAAACTGCTTCATAAATATATCAATGAGAAGAAATCAGTGAAAGTTTAAATTTGAGCTACACAAATTGAAAATGGGGAAATCATTAAGGATCAATTTGATATAGCTACTAAATTAAATAAATATTTTCATTCAGTGTATGTTAATGATAATGATGCAAGTAATATTGAGTTTCATAATATACCTTCACATTTGAGCATTTAGGAACACCACGTTTGATGGGGCGCCACAGTGCTAGTTTACACCCAGTATAGTAATAAACAGGCTTAGTTGGGAAACGGGAGCGATCGCTCTCGAATACTGACCACGGAAATTATATTTAGTTGCGAAAAACTGGCCAGGTTTTTTAGTCATTTTGAGAACATTGAAGTTTATTTTCAAAACAAAAAAATTTTGTTTTACGGACATACATGGAAAAATAAAAAAACATAAATGTTCTTAAAACATTTTGGTGCAAAAGAATAAAAAGAATATTTGGGAACATTAAAAACCCGCTAAAATAACAAATAAACTAATTCTATTGGTTCCAAAATACGCTGACTAAGCAAAAAAAAGTTCTAGAGTATTCTGTTGAAATGTTTTAGAAATTGTATTATTCAGATTTGTTATGTTTTGAGATTTCGGCATAAATCGTATATTGCTTAATTACAAAAATAAATATTTTAAATATATATTAATTAAATTGTCAAAATTTAAAAAGTTTATTATAAATTATTGATTTTAATAGTACATTCAAATTTTTTATTTAAAAAGTATGAATTCCTCATGTAAATGTAAATTTGTGTATCTGTTGTTTATCGTAATGTATCTTTTAAAGCAATTTTTATGATTTATACAAAGACTTACAAAAATAATTGTGCTTTCAATGAAGCTTTAATCGTTAAAGTTAATAAAACTAATTATGTAACAAATATATAAGAAGGTTCTGGTTACTAAACAAAATCAAGGCATACAAAGTATGCGTTGAACAAGCACTGCGCCTGAGGTCATGACAGAACACAAATATATATAGCAAATAATTAGATATAAAGAAAAGTTTCTAGACATTGGTTTACTAACTCTAATTATTTTAGCTTCAGTTGCCATTCTTAAAAACTCATTATACTTTTTTTGCTTTAAAAACTAATTAAAATTAAAAAGCCCACTCACTAAACATCAGCGATATTGTGAAGCAGTTTCGCTTCCTTGTCATAAAGTATTTTTAACCTTTTTATTTGATTTCTATCTTGTTAATTTAATTTCTATAGTAATTCAATGATTTAATTATTTCATTTGTTTATCTTACTAAGAAGAATTGCTTCAAATATGTTGAACTTTTCAAACTAGGCGTAACATAAAATAGGTATTAAAAAAATTAACTTTTTTATTTATAAAATAAATTAGCTTAAATAACACTAAAACTTGTAAACTTTGTTTAATAAAGAATACTTGTTTCCTTTTTAAATAACCGTTAGATGTTACTTTATATAAAAAACATCACCTAATTTTATGAAAAAAATTATAAAAGAGCGATGTTTCGAAAACACTTGTTCTAAACGTAATTTATTTAGCATTAAGTTTTTTTGCGTTTAAAGATATTTTATTTGTCATTTTTTTTTTTTTTTGTAATTGTCTCTCATCGGTCCAATTAATCTTTTGCACTTTTTTTTTTTGCTTTTAGAAATGTTCTCAAAACGACTAAAAAACCTGGCCAGCTTTTCGCAACTAAATATTATTTACGTGGTGAGCAATTGAGAGCGATCGCTCCCGCTTCCCGACCAAGCCTGAATAAATGATCTAAAATTAACTGGTAACAAAATCTTAACTATTAAAAAAATAACTTAAAAAAAAATTGAGAAAACCTTTCAAAACTTTAACTGCAACATCAACATCAGAACTTTTGATCACACATTGACAATCAGCAAATGAACTGCTTCTAGAATTACTAAAATACTTTGTTTTGGCAAGAACGTTTGCATTAATCTTCGCGACAAAAACGTTACCAAATGCTCCTTCGCCAATTTTTTTTTCTAAAATAATGTTTTTGTAAGAAATCTTCCATTCCTGAGAAGAAACCTTGTAGTACTCCTTGGAGCTTCTAAAAAAATAAATATCCCAAACCCATTTCTTTGCTACCGAAATATATTATATATATATATATATATATATATATATATATATATATATATATATATATATATATATATATATATATATATATATATATATATATTTATATAAATAGTCGGAAATTTTGAACCAATTCACAACTTGTAAGCAAATTTTATTTTATATTGGTATAGCAAATCCTTTCTAAATTTGTTAAGTTTAGTTTCCGTATCTTCATATGAAAGCTTTTTGAGATCTGGAAAAGGTTTTGTGGTTTTTCTTTAAACCTTTTTAAATTCTACTATATCATTATTTACAGTTACTCACTGGTGCAAAATATAATGACTTAACTATATCTAAATTTAAAGAGTTCCTAATATTAATCCCAGTGACCTATGCATAATAATGCATAAACTTTTAAACAGTAATAAACAAATAAAAAAAGGTTTATTTACAAACTGACTAAACTTTGGAACAGCGAAATTAATTATGCAAATTAATATAATTAAGCCCTGCTTATACTCTATTAAAAAATTAGAACATTAAATTGAGAACAATTAAAACAAAATTTCAATTTTCTTAAATCACAGCTTTATTATATAAGTAACAATTTTTGTTTGTTTTTTACAATTAAATTCATTGTAAAATAAGCTTTTACATTACAATAACCTTTCCATTTTCAAGGTCAACAAGCAAAAGAAAAATAATTGCTTGATTATCTTCAATCTCATAGACTACATTTACAAAGTTTTATTTAAATAAGGGATTAAATTGTTAATTCTAAGAACCTTACCTTTATGTTAACTTTCATATTTTTTTTTTGTTGGATAATTTTCCCAACAAGATAATTAAGATCATTTAAAACATTAAGCAAGAGGCCTTATTTTTCTTCATTTTCTAAATGAGATAGTCTTGCATCCTTAAATTTTTCCCATAACTCCTCTTTTTGTTTCAAAATCAAAATATCTTGTTCTTTTCTTTCTTTAGGAAAAATCTTTTTTTTCAAAAAGTTCTAGAAAACTCCTTGTTCTAATAATTTATTGCAAACTACTGAATAACTCATAGTTTGTAAAGTCTATTTTCTTACCACCAAGCATTTTAGTTTTGTAAAAGTATTTATGTTAACATTTTGCTTCCATAACATAACTATAAAAATCCAACTGTGCTTTTAATACTTTTTGGTTTTTAAGGTGGCACCTAACAATATATATGCATCATGTGCTTCTTTTGAAGTCAACAATTATGTTTTTTATACAATATTTCATTCATTTCAAACTTTAACTTTAAATGATGTTGTTTGAATTTATCTTTAATTTTTTTAAAGTTACTTGAAGCTTTTTTAAGCGATGAGTCACGCTCATCCAAATTCTTTTTATCCAACCAGTCTAATGTTTTATTTTTCTACCACATAGTATAAGCTTGTATAGTTTGTATTTTGGCATTAGGTTTTGTACAAATTAAAAGATCTAATATAGCAAAGACACTTTCTGACGCTTTGTTTGATGTTGCAACTTACTTATATTATCAGAAGGATGCCAATAATTACCTCCAAGAAACTGATCACCAGATTGTCTTTCAAGAACAACTATTAAAGAATAACAAATCACTTTTAATGTCTGCAGTGTTAAAATATTTAAATCAGTATCAGCAGTCTTTTCAAATAATTTATCATACAAAGTATTGAATTTTAATATCACTTCAACTAAATATAGATGTTTTCAAAATCATAATTAATGATGCATTTTCACACAAGTCTGAAAGTTTCATTTTTATGGTTAGCAAAAATGGATTCATATCAAGAATACTTTTTTGTGATTCAATTATTCGCCAAAGTGAGCTAGTAATCGTTTAATCAACTATTCTAAGAGCCAGCACTTCTGCTAAATATATTTTGTTGCTAATATCTTCTTTAACTGCAAGTAAAAGATTATTTAGATTAGGCCGATTTTGAAGAAACTCTAAAATATCCTTGGAATAAAAATAAAAAGCTGCAGCATTATAATAAAGAATATTTAATCGATTACCAACAAAGGGCGCTAGCATTCACTTACTTTGTCCTTTACCAGCAAAAAATATATTAAAATACCCAGCAACTCCAGCTTTATCACTCCCCTAACATAAAAGGTTTTACATGCAATTCTTATCAATCTAGTGGTACCTGACTTTGCAGTATTGAATGAAAAAGTATTTTCATAAATACTGTTTAAAACTAACTTTTCAAATGACTTATTTGTCTTATTAGTTTCTGTTGCAAAGTTGGTTAGTAAATGCAAATTACAAAAAAAATTTAATACTTCAATGAAATCAGCTAGCTCATTTTTTTTTCTAATTTTTGCAGTTCTTTATAATTTTAGGCAGTAATTTTTTTCTCATATCTTTAAGTTAAGAGTGAATTACCCGGCCCAAGATCAGACACGCTAACTTTAAAAGAACATACAAGGTTAGAAAACTTTTTTTCCTAGCTGCTATTATCTAAAATGTCACATACATCATCTAATGTTTTGCTTAACACATTAATAGTATAATCTGAATCACTTCCAGCCATTTCAAATAATCCAAACAATAAAGTACTTCCACTTGTGGTAGTAACTTGGAAATTTTGAAAATGTCTATGGTATTTAGTGGTACCGCTACTGTGAAGACAATTACCTCAATTACTTTTTACAGTATGTGTCAATTCTTCTCTAAGTTGCAGCTGAGCAATTGCTAATGCTTTAGTCATAAACCGAGATTTTGTACCATTTGAGGGAAGCTTTTCCATATCTAATTTTGGTAGTTTTTTTAAAACAATGGTGATAACCTCATTAACTATATTCATGCTGACATTTGAAGAAACTAATTTCATAATAACATTTCTTATATCATTAGAATACTTTCCATTTTGAAATGTTCTTATTTTGCTATTAAGGAGAAAACAATTTAAAGAATTCAAATTTTTATTTTCTTTGTATAATAATTTTTCTTATGTTAGGAGAGTTATAAAAAAAAAAAAAGGGGCGTGGGGCACTAGTTATTAAAAATAAAAATAAACCTACAAAAAAAAGGGGCACTAAATCCTTTAAAAAAAAAAGAGGGCACTAGCTTGTTTTTTTTAAAGGATTATTTTTTACCCCTCCTTTTTTTTTTTTTTTAGATATAGAGGAATTTTTGTTTAGAAATTGACAATTGCGTCAAAACCTGTGTCATTGGCTCGCTTTAAAACCTGTGTCGTTGGCAAGAAAACTAAACTAAGGTTTTCTCAGTAAAGCAATTTGAGTTCTTGCATAGGATTTATAAGCTTCATTAATGCAAATATAATAGAATACAGTTCTATAAGTTACACCTCAGGATACATCGATGTGCTCAATGTTCACAATATATTCATTCCTTATGATGTTTTGTATAAACCTAGTTATAAAATTAAAACTCTCACTTTAAAAAAACTTACGCATAAATAAAATGATTTGAATTCCTGAATATTAGACTTGTTTTTTTGTTCTTAAGAATTCTCAAAACCAAAGCAGCAACAACAACCAAAATAGGAGCTAAAACTGCTGCCAAGATAATATATATTTTTTCTAAATGTAAAATTAAATAAAAATTTCTTAATACAATACAATGAGTTATAAAAAAAAATATTGAAAACAAAAATCAAACAAACAAACAAGAAAAACACAAATAACTAAAAAAAAAGACAAGATAACACATACAAACTGATTCCCACGCTAACCCTTCATTTTGGATTGATCGCACGTAAATCATGTGCAATTAGCATGTTACTCACATGTAAATCTTATGTTATTCACATGGTTTTAAAGAATTAATAAACAATTCCTTTTTCAAAAAAAGATAAAATACAAAAAGATATTGGTGTCAGTAAATAACATCGTAATAACAGTAAATAACAATAAAAAACGGAAGGGAAAACATGAAAAGGCAGCGAGGAGAAAGTGAAAAATTTATTTAAAGAAAAATTAAATATAAACGAAGAAATACATATAGAACGAGCACACCAAACAGGGAAGAAAGAAGATAACGACAGTATAAGAAGAAGAACGATAGTAGTAAAATTTCTTGATAACAAAGATCGTGAAACTGTATTACAAAACTACAAAAAGTTGAAGTTATGGAATGAAAAAGTATACATTAATGAAGACTTCAGTAAGCGAACAACAAATATTCATAAGCAGTTTTTTATTAAAGCTAAAGAAATACGTTCTTCAGGTAACTTTGCTAAAGTGGTTTATAATAAATTAATCACAAAGTCTTTTTAAAAGACTATTATCAATTATTAATTTTAAAAAATATGTTTTAATATATATATATATATATATATATATATATATATATATATATATATATATATATATATATATATATATATATATATATATATATATATATATATATATATATATATATATATATATATATATATATATATATATATATGTATATATTTGTTTATGTATGAAGTGTGTGTATGTGTGTGTACATATATACATATGTATATAAAAACCTTCGAATATATTCAAAATTACAAAAACATTTAAAATGGATTCATCTTATAGAAATGCTTTTGAAAAAGTATCAAATTTATTTCAAACTAATACTTTTAATTTAGAAATGGAATCTATCCAGATATTAATTATTTTAATGAGATTAATGGACCTAAATTTGAATGCTCTTACTTTTATCCAGATAAAATTAAAAGCATTTTAAAAAGTGATGATAATCATGATTATTTTAATGTAATCCACATTAATATAAGAAGTTTAAAAAAAAAATTTGATAACTTTTTTAATATAATTTGCGAAACAGAAATTTTTTTTAACGTTATTTGTTTAACTGAAACTTGATGTACAGAAGAAGATTTTAAATCAAACTCTAATCTCCATCTTCTAGGTTTTAATACAGCGTTTTTTAAGGGTAATGTTAATAAGCGTGGAGGAGGAGTACTTTTTACATTAAAGAAAACATTGCGTATAATATTAGACGCAAAATGATTGTTTCTGATGAAAATATTGAGATTTTAATGGTTGAAATAATAAACAAACATTTTAAAAATATTTTATTAAGCTGCTACTATCGGTCCCCGACTGGAAGAACTGAGTACGTAAGCAAATGTCTAATAAGTAATTTAATAGAAAAAACTAACTAAGATAAGAAAAAAAATCACATACTTGGTGATTTCAATTTAGACTGTTTCCATTATAATAAAAAAACAAAATATAACAAATTTTTATGATTATTTATACCAAACAGGAACAATACCCATTATTGATAAACCTACTAGAATAACAAATCATTCGTCCTTTTTAATTGACAACATTCTAACCAATGACATTTTTATTACAACGCTTAAAAAAGGCATTGTAAAAACCGATGTTTCTGACCATTTTCCCATTTTTTTCTGCATGAGCGCAAAAAGCAAACCAAGTATGCATGGAAAGGAAACAGTTTAAAAACGTGTTTACAACAACACTAACCTAAATCTATTTAAATAGCAACTTTTGACTCAAGGCTGGAGCTACATAAATTTCAATGACGATGTAAACCTTATCTATAACTCTTTTTTTAAAGTTTTTATAAAACCTACAACTCAAACTTTCCATTGCGTAAAACAATTCTTAACGCCAAAGACCTATCTTTGTCCTTGGATAACCAAAGGAGTTAAAAAGTCCTCAGATATAGTGCAAAAAACTTTATGTTTAGTATCTAAAACTAAATCAGAAAAGCATAAAATCACTTACACAGTCTACAAAAATTTATTTGAAAAACTCCGCGAAATAGCCAAAAAAATTTACTACTCTGACTTGCTTATAAAGCACAAATATAATTCAAAGCAAGTTTGGCAAATAATGAGGATATTACTGGAAAACATAAGACGTGCACAAAATCTATGCCGACTGCAATAAAAATTAAAAACAAAATAGTTAGCGATTTGAAGGAAGTTGCCACCGAATTTAACAAGTTTTTTTTAACAATTGGACAAAGTCTATTAAATAAAAATCCTTATGTAGACAATAACTCTATTGATGAATTTATTGTATAAACAAATTCAATTCTGAACTTTTCAAATATAACATTAAGTGAAATTAAAATAGCATATAAAGCAACAAAAAGAAATAAAGCAAATGGGCCTGAGGATATAAATGGGAACATTATAATCAACTCTTTCAATGCCATTAAAGATATCCTCTTTAAAATTTTTAAAGCATCTATTACTCAAGGATCTTTTACAGATAGCTTGAAAATAGCAAAAATAACTTTAACAGGCAACCCTATAAACGTAACAAATTATCGTCCTATCTCAGTTTTACCAGTCTTTTCAAAAATATTAGAAAAAATAATGTACAACAGATTGTACACTTATCTTATTGACAATAAACTTTTTTTATAAAAATCAGTTTGGTTTTCAGAGAAAAAGTTCTATTGATCACGCTATTCTCCAAGTAACACGCAGTATTGCTGACTCTTTTAAGAATTCTCAATTTACTCTTGGCATATTTACTGATTTGTTAAAAGCTTTTGGCACTGTTAATCAACATATTTTATTGAAAAAGCTAGAAAGCTATGGTATAAGAGATGTAACCCTATACTGGTTTAAAAGTTATCTAAGTAACCGTAAACAATTTGTTTATAACAAAGAATCTTCGCCTCAATTTTTAACGAATGAAACATGTGGTGTTCCCTAAGGATTTATACTTGGGTAACTCTTGTTTTTAATATACATAAATGATCTTTACAAAGCTTCTAATTTACCGACTATAATTTTTGCTGACAATATGAGTTTATTTCAGTCCAACGAAGACATTAAAATACTCTTTAACAATATGACTGAGGAACTTAAAAATATTTCATATTGGTTCAAAAAAAATAGGTTGTCTTTAAATACCGATAAAAAAAAAAGGATACTTTTTCATTCAACTTCTAAAAAAAAAGAAAATTTAAAATATCTTGCCTGACTTATATATTGACAGAACAGTAATAAAAAGAAAAAAAAATACAAAATTCTTAGGAGTTATAATAGATAAAAACTTATCTTGGAGGCAACAAATTGATAATATTTCAATGAAAATTGCTGAAAGCATTGGAGTTGTATATTAAGTTAGACATATATTAAATAAACATCAATTATCACAACTATATCATTCATTTATTCATTGCCATTTAAATTGTGAAAATATAATATAGAGAAGCGTTCACAAAACCAAACTTAAATCTCTCTATCGACATCAGAAATACGCAGCTCGCACAATTAATTTTGCCATGCGTTTTTCAAGCTCAACATCACTTCTTAAAGAATTGAATGTTTTGAATATTTACGAACTAAATGTTTTGAATATTTTATGTTTTATGTTTCAATGTAAAGAAAATATATAACCCAAAATTATTTAACCTAACTTCGAATTTTCTTTTAAATGGCCTTATTCTTCTTTTAAACAGATAGTAAAAGAAATTATCTTTTCAACACAAAATATTTATATCTCTTTTTAGTATTTGAGTTGTTTTTTATATTTATTTTAATTTATACTTTATTTTGTTTATTATATAGACTGTGAAGAATATTAGAATATTGTATTCTTTTTGTTATATAGATTGTAGAGGGCTTCATGATAAGATTCTGTGATTTTTTAGAAGTCCTGCCGGTAATGTATTTAATGTAAATTTACCTTGTACATATTCTGGCAAATAAAAATAATAATAATAAAAAAAATAATAACATCAAAGTTGTCAAAGCAACAGATATCGAAAGTGATTATAACTCTGATAAAGCAATGAAAAAAAATTGACAAAAATTATCTTTAATTTATAATAAGTTTAGATAATATAAGAGTTTTATATAAGAGTTCAAATAGTTTAATGTAAATAAATAAAGGAGTATATAAAAACAAAGTTAAAATATCTCTAAAAACACTTTATAACAAAAACAAAAAATTTTAAATTAAAAAAGTGTTCTATAAAAAAATTAAATTGGAAATGCATTATAAATAATTTATTAAAAAGTATAGACTTACTATATCCAGAAACATTTAGCATTGCTAAAACAGAGAAACAACTATATACTAACATCTCTCATAAACATCATTAATCTCTCATAAACTTGATTAATTAAACTAAAAACAATAACGGGTTTTTTGCTGATTATTTAGCAGAATAAAAAAATTCAACAAATTAATCAACAATAAAAAAATCAACAAGCAGCGTCAGAAGTAAACATGAGGCCTAGAAAGCTCAACTAAATGTTTACAAGCAGAGGTCTGCAACTTTGTAAAATTATCAAAATTACTTATGTAAGACCACATATAGAATTTGCTATCCAAAAGTGGTCACCCGATATTAAACGGTTCAACCAGAGCTAAATTTTTTAAAGCATTTAATGTTTTTTTTCTAGACTGAGTATCCCCTGAATCAGTAACAAATCATTTATCTTCCTTATTTTTCAAAAATATTAAATCTGTTTAAATCTTGTTTTTTATTAATCTTCTTTAAACTTTACTGATTCTGTTAATTTATTTTCTTTTCTACTAGTTTTAAAATTAAAAACTTAAAGACATCTTTCTAAGCAAGGATTCAAATAAATAGTCTCCGGACATCATTTAAATTATTTGAACACAAAAGATGCTGCTCTTTATAGCAGTAACCATTATAGTATTTATAGCAAAGAAAAAAAAGAAGAAACACTACTATGATGCAATAATGGTTGAAGGTTGGCTTCAAGAGTATTTGCATAAAAATGTTCATGTAATAAAGAACTTAAAAAAAAAAAAAAGCAACTTCAATTATGTTAACGCTGTGTTTTAAGTCTCTTAAGCTGTATTTGATTGTCGTCGAAATGTCAACGCAATTAAAGAAATGCGGAAGTACATTAAATTTTATTGTTTTTTAAACATTTTTTAAAAAACCGCAATTATAACGACTAGAAAGTTTTTTTTAATTAGTGGTTTTTTTGTTTTTGTTTTATTAAAAAACATTTTTAAAACATGCGTAAATGTTGCTACAACGACTATCTTATAGCCTGACTCGCAAGGGAGTGCTGCTACATCGACTGACAAATAGCCTGACTCGCAACGGAGTTCTGCTACATCGACTGAGGGTTTGGTTTGGGCAGGCAGTCCATCATTAAAAAAAATAAAAAATTAAGTTTTTAAACTTTTTCTGGTCTGGTTTATTAACGCGCTTTTAAAAACTACAGTTTATGGGAAACTCTTTTTAACTACCATGCAAGAGTATATATATATATATATATATATATATATATATATATATATATATATATATATATATATATATATATATATATATATATATATATATATATATATATATATATATATATATATATATATATATTTCTCTACGTTCGACCTTTGGTGTTACTGATCACGTTATGATCTCTCAAAAACTATTGTCTTATTCTTCTTAAATATTAGAATCCTTTTTATATCGTACCACTTACAACTACGTTAAAGCTGACGGGAGGTATTTAAATAATATTTTTTCTAATGGGCCTTTGATAGAAATTTTTGGTTATCCTGCTAAAAAATGCGCTTCTTAAGTAGCTTTTCGCATTAAGGCTGGCATGGAGTTTATTATTACCTCTCTTTTAATACGATTCCAAGTCAAGACTCACTTTTGTTAACTGTTTTTCTATGTTTGTGCTGCTGCAATTTCTAACCGTAACCATTACTTCCATATTTATCGCAAAAATAATTTTCCTGAAAACAGACATCTGAATACTATTGCAAGAAACTTTAAGGTGTTGTCTAATGCTAAAATCCGCTAAAAGGTTAAAGTGTTGTCTAATGCTAAAATCCGCTATTCTCAGGTCACTAAATTTCGTATTTCATTATGAAAAATAAGCTCCAGAGACTTGAAAAAACTTTAAAAGTGTCTATAATAAGGGCAAATCTGTTAATTCTCCTCTCTGCATAGTCAAGATTTTGTTACCTAACCTAAAAGCAAAGCTAAATTTATTTGACAGGAGATGTTCACTAATCTCATATCTTAATTCCTCTAATCACATTTTATCTAATATTGGCGACAAACAGGTTAATCCATTACTTGACATTCATATTATTCCAACATTGGTACTTGATGTACTGTACATATTATTCCAACTTCATGCTGCATCGACAGCCTTAATTTATAAGAGCCCCATGCTGTAGTAAAATTGAGATTTTTTTTAAGCTTAAAGCTTTGCTATAGCATGGGGTTCTCATAAATCAAAGCTGTTGCTAATAACATTTTGAACTTTCACTCAGATAAAACACATTTTTTCAGCTAATCATAATGGCAACACTCTAGATCTTCTTATATTTATAAACGGTTATGTACCAAAAGACTCATTTAACCTTCATCTTCTAGGATTAACCTTTACTTGTGATCTTTCACGGAAACTACATATCAAATCGATTTCAAAACTAGCAACTCCTAGGGTTGAATCTCAATATCGTGCTTGCCACTTTTTAACTTTAGAATTTATTATTTATCTTTATGAATCTCAAATCTGTCCGTGTATGGAATACTGCTGCTGTATCTGGAGCAATCTTCTATTGACCTTTTATATTTTAGACAAGTTGCAAAAACGCGTTATAAACATAATTGAACTTTTTCTTGCAGCCAACCTTCAACCATTGTTACATCTTGCTTCTATTTCGCTTTGATTTAATGTTGCAATAAATGCTGCTTTAAAGAGTTTACGACTTGTGCCATCTACTTAAATTCACTCTTGTCTTACTCGTCATTCAATTAAGTCTCATTCTTTTAGTGTGACTATTTATAACTGCTCCAAAAATTCTTAGAAAAAAATTGAGTTTTATCTGAGCCACTAAGAGATGTGGCTCTTAGTGGCTTTAGCAGAAGTGAAATTATTTTTAAGTTTATATACTCCCTTTAAAAGAGTGCGCAGTAGGTTAAAATTTGCTTTTAACAGAAAAAATTAAAACTCATTAAATATTAGGTCAATTATTTACTAAAATTAGCATGAGTGCTAATATGAGATCTGCGCATCTTATGGAAGTGATATTTTTATATTTAGTTTCTATGGATGTCTAATTTTGCTTATCAAAAACATTATTTTGGTAGTTGCAGATGTTTTATGTGTGTTATATACACTAGAATTAGTTTGTGCATTAATATAGGGTTTGCTCTTTTTAACAGGGATATATTTATCATTTAGTTGCTATGGTTACCTAGCTTTATGGATATCTTATTTACATAGCAAAAACCTATTTTGACAGTTGCAGATTTTTTACGAGTGCTATATTCATTAAATTTGGCATGAGTATCAAGGCGAGATTATACTTTATATGGAAATCAGATTTCCATTGCAACTAAATGATCTCCATTTTAGTTTCAAATAAATACCTATATTGCTTAACATCCATATTTAGTTACACACAGATAAATGGATTTTTGAACAATTTTTATTAGATTTTCAACCGTCCTACTTTAAATAACTATAAAATGTTGAATATTTAGGTAATTAATTTTAGGTGAAGATTTAGGTGATTAATAAAAGTAACAAAAAATATTGCAATAAAACATTGAATTTGAAAAACATAAATACATGCATAAAATAAGAAATCATATTGTTGGTGAGTCGACAGTTGGAGCATGAGGCAAATCATCAACTCCTTCTGGGAGTTGAGATTTTGAATTTTGAGAATTAGACCTCCTTATACTGCTGATTATTGAGTCTGGTGAGCACAAAAGATGGCAAAATACATCATAGTTTGTTGTCGAACGACTGCATCTGCATGTGCAGTTTTCACGGAAACGTTTGAAATTTTTATTTTGTTCTTCCTATGCATTTTCAGAGAGCATGCCAATAGGGAAGACCTTTCTCCTTACAACATTTTATCCTCACAATCTTATCTTCGTACAATAAAATCTTGTGCAAACTTTGTGGCATGTATTACCATAGGTAGCTCTGTACATGCAAATGATCCACCTAAAAGAGACAATCAAACATGTTATTACGAAAGCCAAGTTAGCTACAGCTCAATATAAAAATAATATTAACAAGTTAACGTACCTCAAGGTAGTATTTTTGAAATGCATCTGCATTAGTTGGCAGAGCTGATTACAATGTGGCCAAGATGACAGCCACTTTTGTACAGCTGTTGTACATTCAGTTTACAAATTTCAGCTACATTAATTTCAGATTGGAAAAAACGACTAGCTGCGCTTCCATTGTTGGATGTCTCAAAACCACCAGATCTGGGCACATCAACAATTAATCCAAGATAACTTAACTTTTATGCTATGCGTCTACTACGTTTGGTTATCAAATTTGTATTTCATTGTTTTAATTTATGCATGTAACGACTACAAGCCATATTGTAGGCCAGAGCAGTTTGCATTTTAATTTTTTGCTACAATTTTTTCATTATTGTTCATCTTTTTTAGTGTGCTGCACACACTGAGCAGGACTGTGATGTAATGGTTACGACTGATAACGATGTTGCCACTTTACCATCTGCCATAATTATTTCAATTTAAAAAAATTTATTTTTCTTATATTCATTGCTACTTAAGTAAAGTGAACATTGCTTTGTATAGAACTAACGCGACGAAAATAAAAAAATTGCTTAGCAAACAAAAACAGGCTATAATGAAAGTTTCAAATGTAGATAGTTTCTCACACACACAAACACTATTTAACGAACTTAATATCCTAAATGTATATAAACTAAACCTCTATCATGCTCTTATTTTATTGTTCAATTTTGATAAAAATGTACTACCAATGTTATTTTATTCAACTTTTGAAAAAAAGAAATCACATATATCCTACTAGATTTTCAAAATACAACTTCAATAATTCAAAACATATTATTCCGCTACTAAATTCTCTATGGTAAACCAAGGACCAAAGTTGTGGAACATAATATTAAATATTGAACTGAAAACTAATTATTTTCTTAAGCAACTCAAATCAAAAGTAATTACTTAAGTACTGACTTTTGATAAATGAAAGTGAATTAACGTCTTTCTAGTAAATCTTCTTTATATTAGAAATCAATGGTTAATAGTT